AGGAGGGGGAGGGGCATGTCTGGGGGCAGCTTTTCTCCCTTCGAGAGCCTCGCCGCTTCGCGCCCGCAGCCGAAGCCGACCTGCTCGTCGGCGGAGCCGTGGCTGACCAGCACTGGCAGCGCCTCGGCTTAGGTCGGGCATGTCCTCCTCCAGGCGGATTTTTAGAGGCCTCCCGGATCGGGTCAGAGTAGATGGGGTCGAAGGATCGCGGCGCATCGTCGATACATCGGCGATGCATCGCCGATGCGCTGGCGGCGTCGGCGATGCATCGGCGACGTCGGCGTGGAGAAAATGGTGCCCCACATCGAGCCGCATCGCCGATGCATCGCAAATGCGTAAGCGATGCGGCGCGGCTCCCCGACCCCATCTACTCCGACCCCGACAAATGAAAAATCCGCCGATCTGGCTCCCCGAGAAATTCAGGGCTCGGGAGCGGGGGGGTGGGTTCGCTCTGCAAGGGGGTGGGGGGCGGGCGAGAATAAGACCGATCACAACCACTTCGGACTGTTCAGAAAATATTATCCCGGCAAAGCAACCTAACAGCGATGTGTAGAAGCATATCTGAAAGCATTCCCCTTAAGATTCAGATGAAAATCCAGTTGTAGAATTCTGCTGTTCTCGCAGTCGTAGTCGCATTCGCGATGACAGTCGCAGCGGCAACGGCAGTCGCAGTCACAGCCTCAGCCTCAGCCTGCCTCAGCCTCAGCCTCAGCCTGCCTCAGCCTCAGCCTGCCTCAGCCTCAGCCTCAGCCCTCAGCCTCAGCCTCAGCCTGCTTCAGCCTTAGCCTCAGTCTGCCTTCAGCCTCGGCCTCAGCCTCAGCCTGCCTCAGCCTCAGCCTGCATCAGCCTCAGCCTCAGCCTCAGCCTGCCTCAGCATCAGCCTGCCTCAGCCTCAGCCTCAGCCTGCCTCAGCCTCAGCCTCAGCCTGCTTCAGCCTCAGCCTCAGTCTGCCTTCAGCCTCGGCCTCAGCCTCAGCCTGCCTCAGCCTCAGCCTGCCTCAGCCTCAGCATCAGCCTGCCTCAGCATTCAAAATGTGGCCCGGGAATGGAGTTCTGGGAACTCGAAGAACACGAAGTGGCCTACAGTTGGCTCCGGGCATTCAAAATCATGCCCAGGAATGGAGTTCTGGGAACTCGAAGACCACGAAGTGGCCTACAGTTGGCTCCGGGCATCCAAAATGTTGGGAAGTCGAAGAGCACGAAGTGGCCTACAGTTGGGGCAGTGGCCCGGAATGGAGTTCTGGGAAGTCGAAGAGCACGAAGTGGCCTACAGTTGGCTCCGGGCATCCAAAATGTGGCCCGGGAATGGAGTTCTGGGAGCACCAAGAGCGATTTTGCGAGGATGTCCCAAGCGATTTCGGCTTCGGCGGCACTCCCCGGGTCCCGCCCAGACCCCCCTGAGGAGTCATGATGCTCTCTATTGAGACCACTAGAAACCTATCAGCAAGAGCTGTTAGGTAACTTCGGTCAGAATACAAAAACTGGAAACGAACTGAGCGCAACCTGAAGGATTCCTATACAAATCCTTGTGGATAACACCGGAGTGCAACCGATCCAAGAGCGTCTGCAGAGCTTCTGCAGAGCTTCTGCTGAGATTATGAAAAGCTTTTGCAGAGCAACTGCAGAGCTTCTGCAGAGCTCCCGAAGAGCTTCTGCAGAGCTTCCGAAGAGCTTCTGCAGAGCTTCTGAAGACTTTGGGAAATGATGGGCTCCGTAAGATTTGTTTAACTTGTTTAGGGCTCATTCTCCGGAATCTGGCAAGTGGACGTATCCCTGGGAATTCCTAGGACTCCCTAGGAGGCCCTCCCAAGAATCTGGGAATTGGTCGGATCCGTAAGAATTCTTAAGATTCCCGAAGAGACCCTCTTAAGATTCTGGCGAATTCCTCAGACGAATCACATGGAACTCGTAAACGAATCACATCGGAATCGTATTTGAATCACATAAGAATCGTATACGAATTGCATAAGAATCGCTTACGAACCACATAGGAATCGTATACGGATCATGGCCACGTTCGAACTCAAGTACATGTGTTTAGTTGAGATCATGATCGGCCGCCGGTGATCGGACCGATCGCAACCGCTTTTTCAGATTCCCATTGGGCGGCCTGAGGGAGTTCAGAGCACCCAGAAGTGCTCGTATGATCTCTCCCTTAATCGAAACCCTATTGACGCGACCCAAAAGCATCACAACCACTTCGGACCGATCGCAGCTGGTTGTGATCAGTCCGAAATGGTCGACGATCGGTCCGAAATGGTTGCGATCGGTCTCCATCCCGGGGGGGGGCGGGGGCGCCATTCCCAACGCCATTCCGTACTCGGGAGCGGGAACGGGGATTCGCTCTGCAAGGGAGGGGGAGGGGGGAGGGGGAGGGGACGCCATTCCCGACGCCATTCCGTGCTCGGGAGCCAAGGGGGGGGGGGCCGCTCTACAAGGGGGAGGGGGTGGGGGGGAACGCCATTCCCGACGTCATTCAGTGCTCGGGAGCGTTGGGGTGGGGGTTCGCTCTGCAAGGGGGGAAGGGGGGGGAAAAGAGGGGGGACGCCATTCCTGACGCCATTCAGTGCTCGGGAACGGGGGGAGGGTGATTGGAAGGGCCGAAAAACAACTCTCTCTCTCTCTCTCTTTCTCTCTGTCTCTGTCTCTCTCTCTCTCTCTCTCTCTCTCTCTCCTCCTACATATATACGTATGTATGTATATATATATATATATATATATACTTTTGGATCCGGCGTGTGAGTTTAAAAGAGCCTGCGCTGCAGCTTCAGCTCTGCTGGGGGGAGGGTTGCCGGGGTGGCTCTGCCAGGGAAGGAGGGAACGTTCTGGAATCATCTCTTGGGAGAAATGAAAGTTCCAGCTTACTCCCAGACGATTCCCGAAGGTCAAAGAGGGCCCGGGGTCGCCGAAAAATCGCTCCAAGACGCCCAAGATGTACCCAAGACGGCTTCAGCAGCCTCCAAGACGCCCCAAGAAGCCCGCAAGAGGCCTTCCAAGAAGGTCCAAAGAGGCAGACATTGTCCCATTCCCTTGACTTGGAAAACTAATCTTTAAAGAAATTCACCTCTTGGGCCTTCTCAGTTTCCATGACGGCCCAAGAGGGCCCCAAGACAGAAAAAGAAAGGCCCGAGACGGCCCAAGACAGCCCCGAGGCAGCCCAAGACAGCCCAAAGAGGCCCAAGAGGCGCCCTAAAAGGCTCCCAGACGGCCCCAGGAAGCCCCCAGAGGCCCCCAGAGGCCTCAAGAGGCTCCAACTGACCCCTCAAGAGGCCGGCAATAGGGTCCCAAGAGACCCCCAAGAAACTCAAGAACTGCCTCCAAGACGCCCCCCAAGAGGCCACCAGATGCCTCCAACATGCCCCCCAAAAAGGCAAACGACTGCCTCCCAACTCGTCCAAAACGCTTACGTTTGAACAACCATGTAACAAAGCAATTAGATCTTCAATACTTTCACTTTCTTGGGGGTCCTCCAAGAGCGCCCCCCAAAGATGGCGTGCAATAACTATTTCAGCACTTCATGGTCTTAATGGTGACTCACGCGAGAGCGTCATTTTCGAAGCCCAAAGGTTTCGTAACCGATGTCCACATGCTTATCTTATGAGGATGTCTCGAACGAGGGCTGTATCTTCAGCATGCACGGTCATCCATTCCCATCAGCATCGGGAGCGCCGGCGGCACTGGCTGAAGGCCACTACAAAAGTCGAAACGTATGCAAAAATAGTCAACACATGATCAAACAATCCTCCCCATAATTGATATTGTTATTGTTGGATTATTCTTGCATTGTCCTCCTGTAGAGGGACATGCCCGACGTGAGCCTCGGCGTGGTGCTCGGCGGCGCCGAGCGCGGCGCGGGCCGCCGGGGTCAGCCAGCCGTTCAGGACGCACAGGCCCCCGAGGCCCGGGTGTTGCCAGAAGTGTCCCTGGCCCACGGTGCCCCCAAAGACTGCCAACCCAGACCTGACCGCGTCGTGGAAAAACCGTCGGGATCTGGCCATTTGCGGCCTCAGGGGGCCCTCGCCGGGCCTCGGGACCGTTGAAAAAGACTCAGGATGTAGAACCGGTAGGGGGGAAAAGGGTTTCGAGTGCATCATCAAAGGGTCAACTCTTGAAATGATGGTGTCTCCCACGAGGCAGGCCGCGAGGGGGACGAGGGCGCCGGCCACGCGGCATCTTGAGTGCTGCTGCAGGGCCCCTCGGCCAGAGCGTCAACTCATGAATTCAACCATAATGAAACCAACCTTTTTCGACCACAGCTTTCAACAACAGGCGTCCAGATGCTTGCTACGAAATGTGAATGCGCCCCGTGATGGTTCAGACAGCTCTCGTGCCGCTGGCGATCAAAAACCGGTCCAAGAGAACGGGTCGTGAGTTCCAGTGTCCCCGTAGCTGTGGAAAACATCAGGGCGTCGCATCTCTGGGAAGGAGGCCCCCGCAGGAACTCCAGAGCACCCCATCACGAGGCCCACAGGCCCCCATTGGGGCTCCGAAAAGGAGCGGAACCAGCTGGGGGGCAGCCTGGGCCAGGGACACCTTTCTGGCCGCCCCCGAGGAGGCGCCGCGGGTACCGCAGCGCGCAGTCCGCGGCCGCGGTCGCGCCCATGGAGAACCCGCCGAGCACCATGCGCTCTGGAGGGACCCCGTCGGTTGCCTCGAGCTCCTGAAGCAACCGGTGCACCTCGGCGAGCGTGGCGTCCGAGACGATCGCCTCGCTGTCGTAGTCCTCCGACCCGACCTCCGTGCAGCCCTCCTCGCGGTAGTCGCCCCACCCGGACACCTCTGGTGAGGCTTCGGGGGCCGCGCGGAAGGGAGGCTCGGCTTCGCCGCGCTGGCTTTGGATAAGGGAAGAAAAACCACAGAATCAACAGAAACTTTTGGCGCTCCTCGCGGATTTCGTGGATCCGCGCGGAGCGCCAAAAGTTTATGCCTATTAATTCTGCGGTTTTTGTCTGCTTCGACCTGGAGGACGCAGGAGCCCACGACCCCCCGAGGCAGTCCCGGCGGGTGGCAGCAGGCCCCCCGAGCAGCGCAGGGCGGCGCTACAGCACTCTGGCGCGCCTCCTGCGGCGGCGCCCCCCCGGGGGCGCCCGGGCCCGCCCGGGCTGCTCGGGAGGCCAGCGGAGGCCAGCGGGGGCCAGCGGGGGCTGCCCGGGGGCCGTGTGTGCGCAAGCCGGAGTCCGAGATCCGACGCTGCCGCGCCGACTGCGCCCTCGCGAACGGTCACGAGTGGAGCCCAAGGGGCCCCAACGTTCTGCCCCAGTTCTCGAGCCGGGTCCGGCCGTGAGAGCCCCGGGGCCCGAGACGCGGCGAGAACGCACCGTGCGAGGGCCACGCCCGGATCTCAAGGCGGAAGCCTTACCGGTATCCCTGTGGCAACTGTTCTGTCACAAGCTATCGCTGAACATGCCTCCTGCCTAAGAGACGAAGGGTAATGATTTCCCCGTTTGCATTCGTACTGAGAATCAGCCTGAGATTTCTGTTCTCATTGGGCCCATCTTGGGCCACCTACGTGAATTATAATTTCACAGACTTGCCGCCGAAACCACACTTGCCACTTGACTATGTCTTCCGTGCAGATCAACGGTACAAAAACAGACATGCGACGTCCTGATGTTTTCAATACGGGGTCCCTGGAAGTCCCGACACGTTCCGGGGGCCCGTTTTTCAGCCTGACTCGCTTGCTGACGGCCACGAGGCCCGGCGAGGGCCCCCCGAGGCCGCACTTCAGGCCTAAAACCTCACGGCCTGACTACTTTCGCGACCCGACCATAACTGGGAGCGCAGCCTTAGATCCCACACTCGCTGCGCACCTTCGCGCCCCCGCAGCACGTCTGCGGCAGCTCCGGGGCCCTGACGTGGACCCACTTCCAGCCCCCGTGGCGCCGGCGCGCCGGTCGCAGCCCCTCGGCCCAGCCCTCGGGGCCGTCGCCGAAGCCGTGCAGCCACACCACGGCGGCGGCGGGGGCGCCGCCGCCGGCGGGCGGGAAAGCCAGGTGGCCGCCGAACGCCGCTGCCGGGGCCGTCGACAGAGGAAGAAACGACGGCGTCAACAGAAGTGTCTGGGCACTCCGCGCGGACTCTTCGAGGATCTGCGCGCTGGAGCCCCGTCTCTCCGGCGCGCGGAGTGCGCCGGCGCCTCTGGCGGGGGGGGGGCCGGCGCGGATCCAAGGAATGCGCGCGGAGCGCCAAGAGTTGATGCTTATGCCGTTTGTTCTGCTTCGAGCCGACCCCTGGGATCCGGGCGTTGCGGTCTTCGCACGGCGGGCGCTCTCGCTCGGTTATCTTCGGCCCCCTGCAGGGCCACCGCGGGTCGATCCGGGCCGAAGGGATGCTGCAGTGTAAGACAGGGCCTGGAGAGATCCCTGGGGGCGAGACCTTCGCGGCGTTGCAGACTCGTGGCTCGGCAACGTCGGGTCTCAGGGGCGGTGCCGCTGCCATGGCCAGGGCGCGCGCGCGGAGGAGGCAGCGGAGGGGCATCGCGGGTCCCGCGGCCCGCTCCTTGGGGGCGAAGCCGGCGTGCGCCCGCGGAGGGGGCTCGCACGCTCGCCCCCGGCCGTTGGGCACGACGTGTGGCCTGCCCCCCTCGCACCTGCCGACGTGCATGGCTGCTGCGCGTGCTCCAAGAGAGCGTCGCGCAACGCCCCTCGAGAAGGGCGCACCGAGCGAGGCGGGGCCCGCCGAACGAGGGGGCCGAAGGGTGACCGAGAGGGCGTACGGAGAAGAGGGGGCAGGCGAAGGCCGGACGGATGGGTGAGGCGGACCCCGACCCCCGACGCCGTGAACTGTTCGCAACGTCGACCCCCAAAGGTCTCGACCCCTTCCCCGGGACCGGTTTCTCGTCTCGAGTCGTTTTTGACGGTCCCGAGGCCCTGCGAGGGCCCCCGGACGCCGACAACAGTGCAAAACCTCCCGTCGTGATTTTTCCACGACGCGAGGGGGTCTGGGGAGGATGGTGGGTGGTATATTTCCCACATGGCGGTCGCTGCACGCTAGAGGGTGCCGGCCCCCCCTGCGGGGGGCAGCGACGGCTAAGCTTCGGCAGCCGTGAGGCGTACTGTTTTCACAGGTGCGAGGGGGCAGCTCGCGATGAGCGCTGCTTCGGGAGTCGGTGGATTCAGACTCTATGGCGGTTCCGCGGTTCCACGGTGACGGATTTGTCAAATCGCGGTCGTCGTTCCGCAGTTGGAACGCGCGATCCCCTGCGGCTCTTGCAATCTCTGAATGCTGGCCGCGGAATTTCTGGGCGCCCAGGGGCAATCACAATGCGCCGACCCTGTCGGCGTGTGGAAGGCGCTGTCGTCGACGTCGTCGTCGTTGCCGCTTGTCCCAAGGAAATTCAATAACGTCGTAGTTCGCTCGAAGGGAAGCCCCTTCCCTATGATCCCTTCCCCGCAAAGGGGGGGGTCTCGGGGGGGGAGGGGGGCGGGGGAGGGGCGGTGGTCCCGTGTCACAATACCGTTCCCCCCTTTGGACAGGGGGGAGTCGGCCCCCCCTCCCCTCCTACCAGACCTCCCCTGGAGGCACCCTTCTCACTCTCATCTACTATGGCGGTGTGCTGCGTATTTTCCTGCATGCCTCCAAGAGGCCTCAGATCTGCTTCAAGACGGCTCATAGTGACCACGGAGCTTCCCAAGAAGTCCCCCAAGCGGCCCCCCAACAGGGCCCAACAGGGTCCCAAGAGGGCCCACGATGGAATCCAGAGCGTCAGTCGCCGTCGTCGTCGTCGTCGTCGCCGTCGCCGTCGTCGTCGTCCTCGTCGTCGTTGCCCCCCCTTCAGGGTCGGCGGCACTGGCCGTAAGACCTTCGCAATACAGTGGATCCGTGCTCACGGGGCACCGATCGTTCTTCAAAAGCACAGATGCCGCGATCTAGAAGCCACAATCTGGTCAAATTGAAACGCTTGCGCGCGCCCAAAGTCAGAATCACCGGACAGCTCGCCCCTTGGCCCCCCGCCAGCCCCACGCCAAGGGGCGAGCATATATACGGTCGCAGCACCGCGCCGGATGCGTAGCCGTCGGCTGGGCCAACCAAGCGAATGACGCATCGCGTGGCGGCTGGATGCCCGCGCCGAGCACAGATATTCTCTGTTCCTCCCTCCTCCTTCTCCTCCTCCTCCGCGGGCTTAAAACTGCCATCGAAATATCCTCACCCGCTGGCTTAAAACTACCACCGACATATCCTCACCCGCAGGCTTAAAACTGCCACCGGAATATCCTCGCCCGCTGGATCAATGCAGCCACAGAAACATCCTCACCCGCTGGCTTAAAACTGCCAGGGACATATCCTCACCCGCGGAAATAAAACTGCCACCGAAACATCCTCACCCGCTGGCTTAAAACTGCCACCGAAATATCCTCACCCGCGTTCTTAAAGCCGCCACCGAAATATCCTCACCCGCTGGCTTAAACTGCCACCGAAATATCCTCACCCGCTGGCTTGAAACTGCCACACAAATATCCTCACCCGCTGAAATAAAACTGCCACCGAAATATCCTCACCTGCTGGCTTGACACTGCCACCGCTCGATAACACTCGATAACACATCGATAACACCTCATGCTATCGAGGTGTCATCGAGTGGTATCGAGGTGCTCTCGAGCGTTATCGAGCTCGATCACACTCGATAGCACCTCGATAACATCTCGAACACATCTCGAAAACATGTTATCGAGGTGTTATCGGGTGTTATCGAGGTGTTATAGTGCGGGTGATGGTCACCCGCTGGCTTGAAACTGCCACCGCAATATCCTCACCCGCTGGCATAAATCTGCCTTCGAAATATCCTCACCCGCTGGCTGAAAACTGCCACTGAAATATCCTCACCCGCTGGCTTAAAACTGCCACACAAATATCCTCACCCGCTGGCTTAAAACTGCCACCGAAACATCCTCACCCGCTGGCTTAAAACTGCCACCTGAATATCCTCACCCGCGGGCTTAAAACTGCCACCGACCTATCCTCACCCGCTGGCTTAAAACTGCCACCGAAATATCCTCACCCGCTGGCTTAAAACTGCCACAGAAATACCCTCACCCGCTGGCTTAAAACTGCCACCGAAATATCCTCACCCGCGGAAATAAAACTGCCATCTAACGGCCTGGTGGTTCAGTTCAGTCTGTCTACCTCGTCGTCGTTGCCCCCCCTTCAGGGTCGGCGGCACTGGCCGTAAGACCTTCGCAATACAGTGGATCCGTGCTCACGGGGCACCGATCGTTCTTCAAAAGCACAGATGCCGCGATCTAGAAGCCACAATCTGGTCAAATTGAAACGCTTGCGCGCGCCCAAAGTCAGAATCACTTGTAGTAGGACGCGCTCACGCGCCAGAGGCCACGACTCCTCATGAATTACGGCACATTTGTAGTAGGACGCGCTCACGCGCCGGAGGCCACGACTCCTCATGAATTACGGCACATGCGAGCTCCTGAGGTCAAGTCGTTGTACATTACTACGCGCTCTCGTCTTCTGAGGCCACCCCCCCTCATATATAACAACTCCCTCGCGTTCGCGAGGCCTCGATCCTTTCAAAATAATGAGACGTGCACGCTTTCGAAGCTACCAACCCTTGTGAATTATGACGCGCTCGTGCTCCCAAGACCACAATTCCTGGCAAACCGCGGAGCATGTGCGCTCCTGCGAGGGCACACCCAATTGCTAACTACGACGCATTCGGCGGTCTCAAAGTCGGCCCCCCACATAACCCCAAACACGTACACACACCATGAGGGAGACACTCCGAGAAGGCAACACATCGTATACCACCAGCTTGAACATGTCAATATGTTCTGTGAATCGCACGCTGCCCTCACAGGATGTCCAAACATGTGCTTCGGATCGGATTTACAATCGAGCGGAGCTGGACATTTTCACGTGCGATCTGTGAAGTATGGAGGTTGGATGGGGTTTGATGGTGGCGGCTCTCTTTCTCAAGTGTGGTATTGAGCGAGTCCGCAACTGCATAGGCCCAAGGCGCTCAGCCAGAGCGAGGCTAGTCTGGGCTTCGCCAACTCCCCAGGGGCCAGAATAAGCGCGTTGAATAACATCATTTTCACATCTCTCTTTGCCCCCCATGAGTCCCCAAACTGCTCCGACATGGCCCCTGGCGGCCCAAGGGTGGCCTCCAGAGGCTTCAGGGAGCAATCGGCATCGGTGGCGGCAATCGCCGTCGCCCTTCTCAGATGGGCCGCCCCTCTCCTTCCTGGTTTCCTTTTCCTGGCAGGCGTGTGCGGCCACAAACACGAAGATGCAGCACCAAGAACTGCTTGGCGCACCTCCCCACAAATATGAACTGCTTCCCATCTGATTGCGCAGAAATTGTGTGAACAGATCGTGGGCCTTCTTGTGGTGAGGCGGGCCTCAACTCCGGACTCCTCTGGCCGTTTGGGACGATCCGGGCCCCCCCGAACGCTCTCAGCGAGGCGCAGCTGCTGGAACGCACCCCGAGGCTGGAATGCCGCCGAGAGCCGACGGAAATGTGCGAAACCCTCGACGCTCGACCTGCAGAAACCGCCGCCGCCGCCGTCGCCGTCGTCGTCGTCGTCGTCGCCGTCGTCGTCGTCGTCGTCGTCGTCGTCGTCGTCGTCGTCGTCGTCGTCGTCGTGCCGTCCCCTGCGATCCGACGTTGCGGCAAAATTGCTTCGCAGAAAATCACGACCGAAACCCTCTTCCTCCATATTTCTCGAGCCGGATCGATCTGCTTTGAGGGCCCCAGGGGGCCGAAACTGGGCGAAGACGCCCAGCTCGAAAAAATGAGACGCCAGGATCTCCCTAGACATGCGACGTCCTGATTTTATATATACGGGGTCCAAGGAACTCCCGACCTTGTCCCCAGGACCGGTTTTTTGAGTCGTTTTTGGACGGTCCCGAGGCCCCGCAAGGGCCCCCCGAGGCTGAAATTGGCAAAAAACTTCCCGTCCTCATTTCTTCACGACGCGATCATGCCTGGGTCAGGGTCGTCGTCGTCGTCATCGTCGCCGCCGTCGTCGTCGTTCCGCCCCCTCAGATTCGACAGTG